CCCCAAAACCCCAAAACCCCAAAACCCCATATAGTAAATAATTTACTGAATTTAATAATCAAAAATGAATTATGCATTAAAATATAAAGCTGTTGATCTTAGACCTGCTGCAACAGAAAAGCAAAATAAGGGAAAGTATCATATCCGACACAACAGACTCAAAAGATTCTCAAAAGTCTACGATTCGTTCACTGACAGCCTTTTTGAGCAATGTTCATCATACTGCGACACTGCAGATCACCAAGCTTGTGAATCAAGTAAGAGAGCTCTATTTATCAAAATCCTAAAACCTACCAAAATTAGCAAAAATAATACTCCAACATAGACAGAAATCAAGCCAAGATTCAACCAATAATGGCAAGGAAGCAAAGCTTGAACAAAACATTCAAGAAGAAAAAGAGCTTAAGCAGACAGAATGAATTAAAACAAAGCTCAACAATCACTTTCAAAACCTTTGACAAGAAAGAGATCAAACGAAGCCTTCGTTCTGTTGGGAGAATAGGTTTAAAAAGCCTCCAGAGACACCAACCCAAGAAAAACAGTGGTGACAATGCTAAAATGGCCAAAGGGATAATGAAGAATTCCGTTAACCACACTCTTTTCAAATAAATCTAGTAACATCATTGCAAAATTTACACCAAGTCAAAGTGTTTCGATTATGTCAGTTACTCAGAAAGAAGAGGCAAGGAAACTATCAGATGTTTCAAACATTTCGAATACAATTCCATTAGAAAGCAGTTCAGAAAGCTCCCCTTCCATGTCTGCCTCTCTCAAAAATAATTCGGGGAAATACAAGAAGGAAATCTGATTGAAAAGAAAGTATGGGCCCAGAAAGATCAGAAAGAAGATTGACATCGACCAGAGATCCATGAGCAAGTCACAAAGTAAATACATCTTTCAATATTTCCAGCAACATCAATTTAACGGTTTAATAGGGATCAAAGATTTAGTAGAGAAGCCTATCATTGAGTTCCCACTTAAAAAGAAGAAGACACAGCCCTATGAGCAGATGAGAGATGATATCATGGTAACAGAGCCGATTGAGACAAAGGAAACCACATTTGAAGATGTATTTACTCCCAAAGAGGAAAATAGCTTCTCAAATAGAGCTACAATTTTGGATATTTGTAACGAAGCTGTAAGAATTATTGCAAAACTATCAGTTAATATTTCGACTTAACTTCACTTGTTTGAGACATATTTTTAACAAGATTTAGTCAAATGATTCTGTCATTTTCGATACGCCCATGGCTTGTGAAAATACAGGAGAGAAAGTAAGCTCCCTCATCAAGCCACTGAGGAGAGAAAATTACAGAGACCAGATCATGCCCTCGAAAATTGATACACAAATAAACAGTTTTCGAACTCCTTGCAAAAGGACCAGCATGGCTAAGAAATGCGAGTCAGCAAGCTGAAATAAAAAGTCTCTCGCTCTAGATACTTTGAGAGAGAATACCCTCAAAGATAAGAAAATAGCAGCTCTTGAGGATACAATCAACCAGCTACAGATGGAGAATAGTGACTTAAGAGAGCTCTTAAACAGATTTATGATCATTAAACTAGAGGATTAAATTGTCTGATAAAATAAATTAAGTCATCCAAGTTCAATCACTAAAACCACAGTTGGGGTTTTGGGGTTTTGGGGTTTTGGGGTTTTGGGGTTTTGGG